TCTATTCAGTCATCGAATTTGCATGTAATTAAGAAGATACCTGGCCGCAACGTCGTTGATATCTCTCGACAATTCCACTGGATCTGGAGTTTTGCTGGTTAAAAACTGTATTGGAGAAGGAGAAATGTGTTAGCCACCTCGTACGCCCATCGCTAGTTGTAAGATCACTGGCCCAAAAGGAAGAGTCGTTTAAAAAGAGACGAGATTTAAAGTGGTTTTGTGGAGATGGAGTTTTGGGCCTGTTCTTTCCGGCCACTTCGTTCTCTCTCCTGTACTGCCCAGTCATATGTTCGTCTGGGTTTTAGCTAACAAGTAGAGAGGTGGAGGAGCCATCCCCTATTCACTTAATTGGCATCTTCATACAACTTCCGAAGGGGGCTCAGTAACAAAGTTAACCAGATGGTTCGCGGTCACAGATGCTGAGGCTTTAGTCGTTAATAGTATTCCTGCAGAACAAGGAACTGAGGTAGTTGCCGAAGGTAGACGTCATTTTTAGACATTCTGCCAAGGGTCGTCACTGGTTTTCCCATCCGCAGCATGCGCTCTTCTTCTGTTACGTTAAGGTTTACCAGGCGGTTATAGAAAGCAGGATAGACATCCTTTTAGATCGGATCCGCATTCCATCGCCACCAGTGTAGCGCCCCGAGTCTTCCTGTAGTCGAAAGAAGTCCTAATAATCGGGCGGAATATGCATTGTTGGCGTACATATGGGCGGCAGAGCTACTGGCGCAGTCTGCAGACCATGCAGCCCAGCAAAAGTGTAAAGGCGGAGCCTTTAGTGGTCCCAAAATCGAAACAAAGAGTCCAGCAAACGTCTAAAGCATTGCACGTACTTTATTTCTTTCAACTAAAATTAATTAAAATGAACTTCACTACACAGATTGAGGTCCAAAGATATTGTACACTTATTTTTACCGTTATCTACTGTTTGGATGGGTAATAAACTGTCCCATGACATGGCTTAACCAAGCAGAACGCAAAAGTATCGACAAGGTCTCAAGTATATTTTACTGAGATTAATGGTTGAAAGTTTAACCAGTCCCTGGTATCGATGCCACAGTTTCGACTTTATATTCCTCCCATTGTAAACTCATGCAGTATAACACATTAATGCGTTAAAATATTTCGGTAAATTTACCATTCACCGGTCTTCCTCTAAAGAAGGCTTTGGTCAAGTTCAGTGAATTGCTAAATTCCACCAAATAGTGGTTCATAGAATTTGTCTTCTTCTTTTTCCTTTTCTACGTCATTGTCGTCGATCCCCTTAACTAAAGAGAGGGAATCGTGTAAGCCGTTCTCTGTTCCTTGTTTTTTTGCGCTACATGTTTCCTTCATAAGCTGCAAATCCATGAATAGAATCCATTTGGGATATAAAAGTAGCGCTTTAGGTACCTCTGCTGAATTTAGCTGAAGATGAAAAACATTCCCTTTGGTGCGACTCTTTATTTTTTTAAATTCTGAATGCTTAAGAGTCGTCTACAGCAAATATAGATGTCGTGTCAGTTAGATCATCTTCTTCAAGCATTGTATGGAAATATAGGCTATAGATCAGAAGCGGTTTCTGCTGTAGCATTCCAAGACTTCCTCGAGGGCAAAGAAGCCATAATACTCCAGCATAATATGTATTGTTGACATAGAGCAGAGCTTGGGGTGCTTTCAGCACGGTCCTGAGGCCATTCCACCCTGCGAAGTTACAAAAGCTGAGCCCTAAGTGGCCATTACCAAAACTGAGAGGCAAACTAACAACTAAATATTATATTTATCTGTTAAGCAATACACTAATTATGTGTAATGTATTGATGGGTTATACAACTCTTCGTTTTGATTTCGAAGGGGCTACTGAAGACTCCGCCTTTGTACTTTGGTTTCTGGGCCGTACGGGTGTCTTCTTCCCTAGAGCTCCTTTACTTCGACAATGCCCTAATGTAATGTGATGAAAGAACACATGCATAACCAAGGAGGCACGCAAACCTTTTATCCACCCAATAGTATCCCATCCCGTGATTTTTTGCTGTGATTGCAAATGCCTACTCCCACTGCAACAAAGTCTCCTTTGTATCGCCTACTGAGTCAAATAACTCATGTCTGGTTTCGCTTTAAAGGCGTGTCAATTGTTTTCCTTCGAGAAGCTTCTTCTGAAGGGCAAAGAGAGCGCGCAATCGTGCCATCCACTCACCTCCATTCACAGTTCCTGTCTCGCTTTCGTTCAAATTTGGTTGCTGTCAAAAAATGATGTACGTGTTTACTTGAGCTAAGAACATTGCTGCAGTAGTACAAATGTGTTTCCCATCCGACGGCGTGTACGTGTGTGTGTGTTGGTTCCTATTTTGTTTTCTGCTATCCACTACAAAAGAGTCGATTTTGAAAGGTCACGAATCAGTTATGGCTACTTTGATTACTACATCAGCTTAATAGACACTTAATAGACGCACGGAATTATGTTGAAACAAAATAGAGACTTAATGCAGTAAGCTCAAAAAACAGACTCTGACAGCAATTTTACAGGTCATTAGACGTGCTTGTAGCAGTTAGCACCATCACATGATACTTCTGCAGCTGCAAATCTGCTTTTTTTGACTAGAAATTTTGTATACTCCTGTTGGAATTACTTTTACATTGAAAGAAGTTCGCATTTATAAGTAGGTAGTTTATGATCACTTTTTGTTCCAGTGTCAATTACGGAGTTTTAAGAATCAAAATGCCCTTGAATAAGGGGATCCGATAAGGCATTTTGGTGCTGAGTGCCAACTTTCCGCTATTGAGCTGACAAGTTGCCTCCTTAGTGCCTATTTTGTTGCTGTTGGTTCGAGTTTGCCTTCCAATGGGTGATCTACGCTGCTAGCATGATGGTGAGTACAGTCAAACCGTGCGCCTAACCGCTCTGCAGTCTCTCATCACCGCACCTGTAATTTGAATTGCGTCCTGAGTGAACTTTGCGTATGCAAGGTGTTTATACAGCAATTGCAATAGTTTAGCATCTCATTAACTCATTTACAGATTTGTATACCGCATTTAAGGCTTTTTGTTCTCTTCAAAGCAGTTTACCTTTCCTGTGATAAGTTTTACACCATAGGCAATCTTGACTGAAACTTGGGCCGCCTTTTCGTCAAGGCAATTTTTACGCTGGTATTTCTCTTCCAAAAACACAGAGAACCTGATTTAGCTATAATTATGGTAGTTACTTACTAAATAAAATATAGATAAAGTGAAATCTCGCAGATTTATGGATGAAGGCTCACCATAACCGCACAGAAGCACTGGAAAGCCAAAGGTAGGGAGGGGGCCCTTTGAGACCGAAGTGGCGTCTACAGCCGTGGAGACTGGATTCGCATAATTTAATATATCCTTACATTATGATCCTAAGGAATCCAAAACATCCCATTTCCTTAGTTGACATTCTTCTTGTATCATCTTTAGATCTCAAGAGTCATGGAAGGCAAAGCGGACCCCTGCCTCCTTTTTTGTCTTCATATCAGTGTTTTTCACTTATCTGGAGTTATCATCAACGAAAGGTGGGTTGTTTTGGATATGAGTAGTAAACTCACCTTTGAGAGGTATCACGCTGGTAGGCTTTTCCAATCACGTGCAATGGCTGAACCAGGGTCAAGGTGAATACGCAGCTCAAGTCACCTCATTGGATAGTTATCATTTTGCTATCAGGAGCTCAACAATGTAAACAATGCTTGTCAGGTCTGGGGCTATTTGACAGGCCTTTTGATTATGAAGTTAGTAAAGTGTATTGGGTAAGAAAATGTTCGGAGAGGCTTCCATTTCCAATACTTCGCCAAGTCACTAACACGTGATATGATGCACCATTGTAATAGCAGCTGATTGGGTCATTTGTATCAATTTTGATTGGTATTAGGGGCACTGTGTGCTCACACGCATCTGACAGTCAGTATAAGCGTGAAGTTGAAGCTGGAGTGACCTATACCAACCGCTGACCGGACATCGGAAGCTCCGCGCACAGGGGATATGAATGGATTCCTCAGATGGCAACCACACCAACGTCCCCAACGACTCAAGGAACAGTTTGAGTGAGAGCACGTCAGAATCCACTGCCTCGACTACAGCGAGTGTCGTCGACTCCAAAGACACCTTATTTTCACAAGAGCAAGATCTGCAGACCAGTGACAAGCATGCCCGATTTCTCCTGAAGGAGACTAGAACAGATAAATCAAGAAGTCGGCCGCCGATAGTAAAGCAATCTCTGCCTGAAAAGAATCCTTTTACAGAAGTGTCTACTAACCTGTATTCAGGCAAATTTTCCTGCTGTCCCGTCACCAATCCCGATGACCCAATTGAAGATCCATTTAGTCTGCCTTGCACCACCAAAGTAGAAAATTCAAGCTCACTTCCACTACAAAGAAAGCCAAAAATTTATGCTCCTCCAGTCAAACCACCTTCCAGTTTCGTTTCCCTAAATAAATACGGCTACGAAGTTAAATATCCGGGATCTCTGTTGAAACTAAACATCAGTGGAACGGTTTTCATTGTTAAAATAAGTACTCTGCAAAAAGATCAAATAGTGTTTGAGAAAATTCTGGAAACTGCTGAGTACATTCCTGAGACGGATGAATACTACCTTGAGAGGGATCCCGTGGTATTTCGCTTCGTTCACAACTATCTTCGCCATCAAGAAATGCATTTACCACTGAACATCTGTGGACCACTGCTAGAGAAGGAGCTGGAAGCTTGGGGATTACAGCTGGGTTTCGATTTGCAGAGATGCTGCCTAGGTCCCGTGATGGACACCAAATCAAAAATGGAGTCTTTGAGGAAGTTTGAGGAGACCTTTTCGGAATCCCTCTCAGATAAGGAGTTTAATGCGCAGTAAGACTATAAGCCTGCACATTTCTCTCTCATGCTTAGCTAGGACTGTAAGGCCTTATTACTTAGTGTGGGATGAGTTGATGACATTATCAACTTTTCATTGCATAAGCACGACCAAATCAGGTCGGCTGATGTCACTTTAAGCCTTGTTTCTTCATTCTTTATAATGTTGTCTGAGATCACAGGTTAGTCGAAGGCTTCATGCTCTTAGGCGATTGATAGACATGTTCCTGATGTGATTACTACCTCTCCCTTATCCCTAAAGCAGTTAACTGCTTTCATATATGCTAAAGGTGTCTCTATCAGAGTCAGTCAATCACTGAATCAGTCACTCAAATGGAGTTGCTTTTATGGGTGAATTAAAGCCTACAACCTGCAGAAGATATTCCATTTCCAAGGATACTAAGTAAGGTTTCCTCCACGTGTTATGCTATTCACATAGGTCCACCCAAAGCCTTTGAAGCAATGTCAAGAATTGCCTCTGACTCTAGGTCGCATTTAGTTACTCACAGTTAAAGTAGGCTAGAGTTCACGTGATTACTCATTTCAGCTGCATGAGGCAAGCATGGGAATTAGATGGGGTAAAACTCCTAGCACCTCTGCACTAAGCTTTAGGTGGATTATTAGTATCGGCGGTCATCCAAAAGCAATGCGCTTGAGATAACTAATGTTTCCTTGACTTTCAGCTTGAGCATCCGTTGGCAAAAACTGCGCCAATACGTGTGGAGAATCATTACTGATACGCCAAAGAAGCGCTGGTTAGGATCGCTTCAGAACAACACCCCTGCAACTAGGAATAGTACTACAAACGCCGACACGGAGAGAGGGCAGTTCGGACTAAATCGCTTCAATGATAGTGAGACTAGTCATACTAGTGGAGTCGCAAGAGGGCGTCTCGACTGTGCGAGTGTTAACGACACTGGGGGTGATGTAGGTAGTGGTGGTGATGATGGACTTGACAACAGCCAAAATAGTGAAAGTCGCTTGACCAATAAGCCATTCAACTGGCGAACTCTACAAAAGACGCCCAAAGAGATTACTCTTAGTAGAGTGTATGTGGCATCACAGTTTCTGATAGTAGCATCCCTTATCAACTACATGACCATAGCCTATATTCCTGAGCTAAGGGAGCCCTTCGGTCCAGCCCTGAATATCACGCACGACAATGCCAACAGGAGTATATTGAATGGCTTCCCCGTTCATCGATCTTACAGAGAGTTTAACGACGAGACCTGTCAAGCTACACGTCCGGTTTTACCCCTTCGAGTACTCACATGGATTTGTGTTGTGCTTTTTACCATCGACCTCATCGCACGTGCAATATTCTGTCCGAATTTGTTCCGTTGGTTGCGGTCTTTCTATACGATCACCGACATTGTCTCTCTCCTTCCTTTCTACGTTGAAGGCATAATATTGGCCTACGTCGGTGCGCTCACATCCTCCGAGTCAACCAACGCTCTAGCGAATTCACTCTTCTTCACAATCGATATCTTTAACATGTTCAAAGTCTTCGTTGTCGTTCGAATCTTTCGGCTATTGCAGAGGCAACGAGCCACTCGTGTGCTGATCTACACAATACGAACAGCCGCCACAAACATTGTTATGGTGTTTGAGTTGATACTTTTGTGTGCCATCTTCTTCGGCACGTCAATATTCTACTTTGACTTGCAAATTAATTCCATCCTCACTGGAATATGGTGGGCTTTCACAACAATGACTACGGTGGGTTATGGCGATGTGATTCCCTCCTCCGTACCGGGTCGATTGATAGCTGTACTTTGTATGATCATCGGCATCCTGCTTACCTCCTACACTATTCCTGTCCTCGTCAATGACTTCCTCCTTTTCTACGGACATGCCGATCAACTTGCCTGGATGCGACGGATTCATAAGAGTGCAACCGCCAAACGACGTACTGAAAAACGTGACCTCATGGCCAAACGACAAATAAAACAAGTCAGGACTCTAATCAGGCAGGCTGTGATAGGCCTTGGGACATTTCACGAGGGAAGTACCATGCCTAAGGCTAGTAGTGTTAGTGAGTACACCCTCCGACGGCCCGATGCATAAAGCTCTTAATATTCTTTACTACAAACGGAACCTAAGACAGATTTGCTTCCGGTGTTTTATTATTTATGCAAAGTTAATAAATGTATAGTTATTTTTATGTTCTATTGATGTTTTCTACTTGAGACGGGAAGTGTGGAGAATGCTCATCATGTCTGGCTTGTGGACGAAGTGGAGAAAGTTGGTGCAGAAAGTATTAAGGGCAAACCCTTACAAAAAAGAGTGGATTGTCAATATAAATAGCTGGACTGCTGGCAACCAGTGGTTCTCAAGAATTCACGAGCATTTACGTACCATAACGTCTAGGTGGTCAAGTTTAGTTGAACTGAAGGATCCGCTTTTCCCACTCATCTAGTATCAACTCTAATTACCACAATCTTATTGGCGCTACATAGCCTGTATCAATGTGAAAAGTGTGTTGAATAAGCAGCACACACACGAAGACAATGACGGCCATATGACACTTTCAGGTGTTAATCGGATACCAAGATACTGCGCAAGATCTAATCCGGTATTACGTATCCCCAAAATTAAAAGGCAGTGAGAATCCTCCTTTGCTTGTGTTGTTTTGGAGGTGCTCGATACTCCAAATGGATTAGAAACGTTCAAGCAAATCGATCTCACAGAACTATGAAACATCCCTGAGGTGACAAGATGTTTTTTGCAAAGCCATTTGTCCTACAAATGTATACCAGTGCTTAGAGAACTTGACGAACCTTTTCAAGTAGGGTTGATGCCAAAGGAAATCAAGTAAGTTTTCATTTCAAAGCTTTCAAAGTTTTGAGCATCCGATGCACGGAACCTCCTTAATGTGCATCTATAGGAGGAAAGCACAAGAGATTACGCGGTCTTATGAGGTATCTGCCCTATCCAGAATGTCAGTTCCATCAACTGCTTTACATCGCATTATGCCAAAGGCTATTGCTTCCTATTTTTGCGTGGCTACTGCATGAGTTAGCAAAACAGGGGTCACAGTAGGTATAACACGATATTTTTTGTGTTTTCAGAACGGTGACCTGAGTCTCACCGCATTCTGGTCTAATCACGCTTCAGGCAAGCTAACATAACATGCTAGCGCAGACCCGCAAATTTAGCATACCTTCAGGTTATTCAACGACTTTCGCTGGAAATGTTTCACTACCATGTTTAGCGCGCCTTAATAAGTTTTCAGTTCTACGGTCTATAAGAGTTAACAGATTATGACAGTTTCAAATTGTCACGTTCATCAGTTTTTCATGTTTAATCGATTCCTGAGGGGTTTTGTAGCCCCCATGACTTCCCTGAAGACGCAAGAAGACAGAATGAGTATGGTCGAGGGGCTACCGGTATAGTCCGCAGGCCATGTAGCTGGGTGTAAGTACAAAGGCGGAACCTTAAATGTTCGCGCAATCAAAACGAAGAGGTAAACAGGCAATCAAAATAATACAGTTTATTCACTGTCATCCAACCACCACTGGAAGAGTTTGGAATGTACTATTAGCCTAATAATTCAACCGAATTTTCTGCCGCCAGGTAACTACACTCAGTGTATTTCAAAACTGAAGCCACTGTAGTATTAAGGAGATAGAAATTAATAGAAGCCTCAATCCTCATCTTTTGTAATTGTGAGAACACTTGACATTGGATTATAGCATCCTAGTCCAGTATTCTCACATCTCACATCTCAAAACTTTAACCAGCCCTATTTCGACGTGACATCAGATTAGCAGTTTCTAGGCCCTAGAGCTGCACCGCAGACTGGCCAAAGTAAAGCAATACTGTGAATTGGTAATTTCAAAGTTTGTTTAATGTTTGACTACCTCGTGGCATTTGACAACTCCTAATTAGTGAAGATATACGTGCCGAGAACAGTTATTAGATGTTATGATTAAAAATGGTGAAGATTTATCATATAGCATTGAAATAAGTCAAAAGAGAGATTACTTTTACAAATAAGGGAACTAGCTTACAGCAGTAATGGATTAAATCGTATCTAAGTAGTATACGTCTTAAATAGATATATTGTAATCGATTCGGTGTTTGTCCCAACCACCTAAGCCTCCATAAGCAGACGTGTAGGACGAGGATATACTCTGACAGGGGAGGTACGGATAAAAGGATATAGATTTCATGGTCAAGCGTATTTTCGGTGCTTTTCATAGGGGGGTTGACGGCATCCAATTTGTCACGGACCTACTCCCATTAAGCACCAAGTAGAAATTAGGCTCCCATGTTATACGCCAGTGGCTTAATGTTTCCCCTTTCTACCTCAGCCTCGAAAACCTTGGAATGAGCAGACGAGTTGAACGATGACATGCTTTGGAAGGGGGGGAGTTTAATGAAGGGGTACAGATATCACTGTCACGTGTGTGTGTGAAGTCTGTTGTCTTGGGGACCGATGACGTCCGATTCACCACGAGGATCGTGTTTACTGACTGTCTCTCGCCTAAAGGTTTTATTCAAATAACTGTGTTTAGAAATATTTCCAAGCAGAAAACAATTGCCTAATTTCTCATATTTATGAAGCAGAGTGGAGTTTTATGGAATGTGAACATACCCTATTACTTCTATTCACTACTTTTGGGCTTCAGTAAACTGCTAAAGAAGTGCCTAATCTGGATCTACCTGACTGGTGAGGTAGTAGAAATACCGCGAATTGGAAGTTGCATGAAGAACTTCAGGAAGTTCACTTCAGCATAATTCATTCACACGTCACCTTTGATGAGTTAGACTGTTGAAATGGTAGAAACTATTCACTTTTCTGACCTCTTGAATTACCACTGGTTAAGATGCGTTCTTCATGTTAAAAGCCTTGTATTTCACGGCTGTCAGTTAAGTTCACATGGCATATGAGATGCATAAAATGCAGGGCTTATAACAGCTATTCATTAAACGTTATGCATCAATGTCGACCGCCAATCCTCCCGCGTGCGTGTTTATGTCGATTTTTCAGCGCTCATCTCACCACACCAGATAGACTCATTGCCTGCTAACAGAACTTGTTAATGTACTAGTTCATGCTTTATTTTCTCCGCCGATAGTGTAAATTGAAATAACAGCATTGTAACCCACCATCCTCCTTCGAGACTACATTGCAGACGGAACAAGACGTAATTATGTGGTATAAAATGTCATGACGACGTACAGAGGGCTTAAGGGCTACTGACGTGAGCCAGGCACCAGGCCACCCATTAAACGTACAATAACAAAGCTCTAGGTACCAGCGCAACTAATACAAAGAGTTAAATAAGCAACAAAAGTGTTGTATAGTCCCTCTCATCTTCTAAGTCCTGTCCCAGGTGCTCCTCTTGGCCAGCCTCTTGCGTTCGCTATTTGGTGCTGTAAGAAAAATACTGTACGGTGCTGTAAGAATTACCCATGCCAGTCATCGAACTTAGGTGCGACTGAGAAGATAATTGATGGCAGCATCACTAATCCCTCATGGAGATTCCATCGAATCTGCAGTTTTGTCCTCTTTAAGAACTATATTGAGAGAATACACAGTTCATTTCATCTGTCCATTACCAATAGGAAAAGCAGAGTCATTTGACATAGAAAGGGGCTTAGAGTAGTTTTGCTGGAACAAGGCTTTACATTTGCTTCTCCTTACCACTTTGCTCGCACCTCAGTGATGCCCAAGCATATCCATCAATCTGGGTTCTTTCCAACTATAGTGAGATGGAGGAGGTATCATGTGCTCACTTAATTGACATCTTCATATTGGGTACCGTTGACAGCTCCATAACACTTATGTAGATGTTCTACAGCCGCAGCTAGTGTCGGTTCAGCTGTTGGTTGCATTTCTGCAGATCACGGGACTGGGGTAGGTGTCGAAAGTAAACATAATTTCCAACCCTGCTGCCAGGGGTCATCACAGATTCTCCCATCCACAACATATGACTCGCTTCCATCTCATCAAGGCTTAGTATTCAGGAATAAAAATTCCGGCCGTTGACTTTTATGATCTGGTTCACTAATCGTTGCCACCAATGTAGCATCTCCAGTCCTCCCTGAAGGCGAAGGAATACATAATACAAGGGCAGAATACCTATTATCGATGTACAGGAGGCTTGGGGGCTACCAGCCTGTATTTCCACCATTCACAGTGAATACTTTAAGTGCAACACCTCGTATCCAAATTGTCTAGATCTTGCAAAATAAACAAAGAAGTAGATCAGGAAGTTATCGTGAAACATCATATCGAAGTAAAGTTGATAAAACGGTGACAAAGCGTCATAAAACAAAAGAATGCCATGCATGACAGACTTTTGGCAAGGGACAAAATAAATAAATTAGAGTAAAGCTAATTTCAGAATTTGCATTTCCTTTTGCATTCATTCGAGGATAAAAGCTGCTGTGCTGATTAACAAGCTGCTTTTGAAATAATAAAGTTGTCTCGTATATTGCGCATTTCCTATGCTTGATACCTGCTGACATTTTCACTGTAGAGCTAGGAGTTGACAGTGATTGAGAAATCATTACCCTCGGCTGATGCTGTAACCTCTTTTGTATTTGATGCAATCCGAGTGGCAACAGTAACTAGTTTAGCTATTTTTGTGTTGGAATCAAATGAAACCAGTCGTTTGATTGCAAGTGCACTTCGACACAAACGTTGATAACACTAGAACTCGTGGCGAATCAATTAGCTCCCCTTGATAGAAGTAGCCTCCCCCATTTATTTTGACACAAAGTTGGCCACTCGGATCAATTTGTTCTGAATGTTTTTTTTTCAAGTGCGACCTGTGCCGTAAGATGTTATTATCAAGGTATTTAAAAAACCGGAACTTTGTTACGAAACGTTACATCTGGACAGTGGTTTCTTGATTTTTAATAATGTGACCTCGGTCTCCAGGTCATTTACACACTTGCTGTAAAGAACTCAACGAAGTCTGACCACTGGGTCAGCAGGACAACAACTTAATAATTCCTGAACGGCTTAGTTGCAAGTTGATTCCTGGTTTCACCGCAGTAGTAGGCAGAAGGCTCTGGTGGCTTCACGATACTGTTTGGTTAAATCCATTTCACCTATCACATGGCCTAACTTTACCAAATAGGTTTAATAGGCAGTGTTGTACATAACTCTTGAGCTAAAGGACTGCTGAAAATAAATTTTCTATCATCACTATCCAAAACAGGATGCAGTGCTGCGCTGTACAGCCTACAACTTAAATTGGATCAGTGGAAATCAAAGTGAAGTACTTGGTTCAGCGCTGATACGTGAAGACGATTTTATTAGTAGTACACAATATAGCGGATATCGTCTAAAGATTTGGACAGTTCTGTTGTTTCCACATGACTGAACTTTGCCAAGGGCGTTGTGAATAGTGCAGTATTAACTGTTGAAAAATTTTTTGGTGTAGGCTTGATTAGACGAAATGACAGTTCAGTGGAAGCATTCACAAGGAATAGTACAAGTGTTTAGGTTGTAATACTCGCCAGAGATGGAGGTAAATAAACTGTTTGGCATTCAAGTAATTTTATTCACTGATCACTTAGGATATCTACTTAAATCAAATAAGTAGATATTCACATCACCCAAAGCATTTGAACAATGAGGAAAGAGTAGTCAAAAGAAAGGGTTAAAGCGAGGTTTCCAACTTACCTAGACTTGCAAAACAAACATGATGTTCCGTAATTAGGACAAAATAACATAAATGCCTTCGTAATTTTACTCAGTGCGCACAATGACTCGGCTTACCCTTACGTGTGGCATAGCGTTGACAACGTTCAACGCTGATCATTCAATGGGTCTGTATCCTGATAATAAATCTTTTCCATATTTAAATTATTTTCCAGCCTCCACGGGTACCAGTTTATTCCTGGTGCATTCTAATAGAAAATTAGTCGTTTGGCAAGTATGGGGCTAAGGTGTTAGGCACATCAAAAGTGCCAGACAAATTAGTAGTAGGGATTAATGTGGCAATCCTCGGACAAAAATAATGCCCTAGAACAAATCAACAGGGTGAAAAGCGAGTCAGTTTGTTGCTAAAAGAGAACTTAGTGGTTCCGAAATCCGCCTACCCCCCTCGCCTTCCCCAGATGAAAGTCGATTAAACAATCACGAGGGTTTGACAAAATGGCTACAAAAGTTAACCAAAGTGCTGAAGTCCAATTCAAAATAAAATGTCCAGCCTAAAACGAAATGAATCCTTACCGACAGTCAAATCGACAAATGAAATTGCGCATTATGGCCCTCTTGTCTTACGAGATCGTCAGGGGCATTTCGGGAGCTACACCGCCACTGAAGTCACTTAGCTTCACCCTAGATGACGCAAGGGAAACGCCCACGTCAGTTAGGTGGAAATATTCTTAAGGCTTACGGCTCATCCACTGCCAGACGGCATAAACAAGTCACGGTAGACGTAACGTAAACACTTCGAAAGTTAAAACATCACTCTACCAACTGTTACGGTGTTGAAAGGATAAGTTGTAATGCGCCGGTGTTGTTTTTAACACTGATGTAACTGCGTAGCGGTCTTTGTCACCAACTTGCTGTCGTGACGTAGCGTTCACGGTGCGCCTCAATAAGCCCTTAGGCATGACCCGACACTCCGTGCTGGTGGTAGTGCTAAAAGACATTTGCCCAAGTAAACGATACAGAACCTAGACGTCACAGAAGAAGGATGACTGAATCTGAGGAGATTTATAACAGAGGGATTATTGAAGTCACATCAACCTCGTGTTTTCACGCAAGGTACTTGAAAAATAGAATGAAACCAAACAGGGACGACTTGAAGACCTGCACTATGGCACTGCTTGTGGACTAAGTGATACCTGTACCCGTCCACAGTAGGTGGTCGACATTAAAATGAATAGAAGACCCAAAAAACCGCGTCAAATTATGTATTACACCAAATGACTCCACTTTAGGTGCATTTTCCCCTACTTGGGACGATACAAAGCAAGCAAATGCTTCCAAGTGTAGTTCATAAGGATGACGCGACTCTGCATCGAATGGAAACAATAGGCATCGCCACTGCTGAGATTGAGTGTTTCCTCGCCTAGACAGAAGATCAATGTATGACCTTCGTCTACGGCTCACAAATAGTTTTCACTCCGGCGATCTCATTGCTACGTTCCATATGGAAGAGCGACCACGCAATCACATCGCCATGACCAACTGGGAGGGTTACAAAGCCTCATCTGGAATCCTGCGCCTCGTACTTAATGTGGACGAGGCCCCACCAAAGAAAAGACACTCGGTATCAGCATTGAAGAATTCAAAATTATTGAATAAATTTTCGCTTACCAAACATCGATTGATCGAGGGGCGATGGTGACAGATAAAATAACGTAAAAATCCGATTTCAAGCAGAAAGAGCGGCTGTGAGAAGGGGCAAATCGAAGGAACTACTAGATGGTAAGTGTTAAAACCAAAAACTCCAATGCTTCATTCAAAGGCGGGGGAAAGAAAGGAGGAGAAAAAAGTGAAGGCCGGGTGGTACAGACAACAAGAGGGTAAAATGAGAGGCGAAGGGGGGAAGAAGGGTGGGAGAAAAATAAATCACAACAGACGACAGCGTTTGTCATCATGGGGCCGCCGTCAACGTCTGTATCACACACCGGAATGGATGCACTTGCAAGGGTCACGATTTGTGCTGGAAGAAGTGGTTCAAGGAGTATGGCTCAGTTTGATCCTCTGTAGGACTTGGAGTGTCGCAAAAGCCATTGCAGGGTGATGTCTAGAACAAACAAGAAAGTAATAAAATAAGGTCAGGAAAGTCCGCTGAATGCAAACTAACGCGAAATGTGAGCCGGACCCAAACCAACACTGTGCCAATATACAATGAAACCGCAATACAAGGTAAACTTGTTAATCCTTCACCATCATTTAGGAGAAAGGGAACAACAAAACAGAAACAGGCGATTGCAAAAGCGATTAGATTGCACTCAGAGCTAATTATGCGAGTGAGACAGCGGAAGAGGAGCGGCTAATAGCTCGGACATCCATTACGACTAGTGTGGCTTTCTCAGCAGAAAGGCACAGCTACAAGTTTGAGAAGCTAATTGAAAAGGCAAATACAATGGACATTCAAGTTAGACGGAGACCTAAAAATGAAAGAATTTTAGGGAGTGGAAGCTGCATTTGTGTTCCGAAATGGCTCCGTGCCAAGGCTCCACTCTCACCCCACATTACCCTATGCCTCGAAAGCTTCAACGCATAAACACCTGGTGGCCGCATTCATCTCGTCGCAGGTGTTGAAATGCTGATCTCCGAGGTGCCATTTTGAGCATTCAAACGAGTAGTTTTGCCGCATGCAATGATACAATCCAGGAAATCAGGGTCCTCCTTGGAAAAGCAGCTCTCCAACTCAGCGCAGAGTTCGACTCGCCTGTGCTAGTCAAAAACGCTAAAAGTTCGTAAATGGCTATATTCGCCATCTCCACAGAAGTGTTCGCTTCTTACGCGGAATCGCGTATTACGTAGGGTGAAGGTTAAAGGAATGACTGCCAAGGCTGTGGACTGGGATGCACCACGACCGGAGTCGATGCTGACGCATGATCATCAACACGCAAATGCCTTAGTGCAGCTAAGCACCCACCACAGCATTAAACCCGCAAATACTTACTCTTGTATAAGACTTTAAGCACAGTATGGTACAGTGATGGGATGTTCGTTAGATGGACCAGCAAAAGACGTGTACGCAGACAATTAGTAGTGGGATACGTGTGTCGCCTACCATTGTGTACAGTACCGCCACGGCAGCAACCCAATTTGATTTGCTGGTCGGGTGTGTGCTTCTATTCCTTAAACACCAACCTCTGAATTTGGGACGCAATACCGTCCCGTCTCTCACGATTTTAACTCAAAATTGCCAAAGTTGCGACTCACTTCCCTGGTGCTAAGAAGACAAGTTGTAAAAGGAATACTATAGACCATATTTTTTACAGATTTGGCAAGGAAAGGAGTTGATCTCTATAATACAAGCATCAAAGATTCATATAGCAGAATGATACATGCTTCGTTTACGCATTTTACTGTGAGACTTCCTAGTCTCTTGCGCTTCATTCTCCACGACTGGGACGGAGTTCTTTTCATCCCACCTATACTGTCAGCCCTTCTGTAAGTTGATAAAAAGGCCACTTCCAGACTTGTGTATCTCATGATAGCTTTGGAAATAACTCAGAAACTAATGTATGTATTATTGTGGCTTGGTCAATTTTTTAGTCCACAGTAAAGACGAAGCACTATTTTGATGGGCAATTATTCTGATTCTAAAAACGCCGACCCACTACCAAGATCGTTTGCCTAACAATCAAACGGCAAGACTCTTAGTAGCAACAAAAATCGGATAAAAACGCGCACTTCAGATCCAAACAGACGGTCTAAAGCATGCTTTTTAACTTGCATACGTTCAAGGTTCCTGGGACAGTTTCAGAGGCTGTAAATATACGCTATGAACAGAGGCATTATCTTATAAAAGTCATCTCGCAAAAAGAGTTAGTTCTATTTCTACTACAGATGGCTGAAAAAAAAACATTTCTACTCTGATTGACGATAGAATCAGCCAGATTAATTTATTAAAAACATCATCAACATTGATAGATATACACAAAAAAATAAAACTCGAGATTTGTGATCAACATAAGGAGTTAGCAGCAGAAAATTGAGTGGGAAATTTGGTCACACTGCAATTATTCCAGCCAATATCCACTAAAATTATCGCAATGATTGCGACCAAATCACCGACCTATAGGAACCCCGTAGAAGCTATCACTGCATTTGCGTGCGTTTTAAGATTCTGGTGAGAAATTGCGCATTAAACCGACACTACTTTAAAAATAACGTTCATGTGTGGAGATGTAGAAGAAATACGAAATACATACCGAGCAAACGCTGTTGCTTACCTAAGCACCTGCACTTCAGTGGTATTGAAATCGTATACATTAATACAATTCAAGCACGGTGAGGTCACTCCACTATCGTTGACTGATAGTGACAGTGAAAGTATGAAAATACATGTTCACCCGCTCATGTGCTACAACTCCAACAAGTGTTATTTCAGATATTGGGAGACATGAGTTGCAAAGTTATAAACATAAGTGCGCAATTTATGACTGAATTTTAAGTTTTCTGGCTGATAATTCTATACGAGCATCGAATTATGCATGCGCTGAGATTGCATTCACCCAGTACCTATAAGAACTACCCAGAGTATTCTACGTTAGCTGAAAGCCAAAATGAAAAATGTGTTTAATCTTGCGAAATGTCGATACATTTCAGCGGATAAATGATATGTAGAGCAAGAATTTGATAATTTGTGCCAGAACCTCAGATAACAGATTATTACGGTCCATGGTATGAAGTAGGGAAGGTGCACAATGCAAAAAGAGGAGCTAATAGGGAATCAAGGCTAGGATACTCGATGAAACTCACGAACCTATGTTATCCTGCTCCTTGCAGGAAATGGAGTAGCAGCAAATTTCGCGATTAGGGATTGCTCTTAAACTCAGAGCCTCGATAAGTTCAACTTCAGTCAGTGCTCCGGGCAAATCGCGTTTATTTCCAAGCACCAGGACGGGAATCCCTGCTAATTGGGATTTTTCTAACAAGGCATGAAGTTCATTCCTCGCTGCTTCCAACTTATCTCGGTCAGCAGCATCAACCATAAAGCTAAAAGTTAAGAGTACAATAAGTTTTAATTAAATATGAGTACATCTAACTAATGAAAAACTACATTGTGCACAAAAGTGTCCTGAGATGCCAACCTCAAACAGGCATATTGTCCGGAAGAACAACCCAAACAACCTGGCTCTAGGACATAAAAACATACTCCGACGATATCATAATGAAGTAATTGGTTTTTGCAGATAAGAAACTACTCACAGTACAGCATTTACACCTCGGCAGTATCGCTCCCACATACTACGAAACCGGGGTTGACCTCCAATATCCCAAATCTAAGGCTATAAACTCACACATAAAGTGGATTTACCTTGATAGAGACTTTTCCTTTTGTGATCTTTTTCATATTAAATCCTACCGTGGGTATCATGTCTTCACAGTACTGTCCAGTCTAAAGACATATAATGCTTTGGAAAAATGTACCGCAATGACATTGACGAATGTGGTTTTCCCTGAGTACTGTAGGCCAACTAATGTTATTTCCATTTCTTCTTTCCAAAAAAGATTACGGATCCAATCTAAGATTCGCTGAAATATCGCCAGCATTTCGAAATGCGCGCAATCTAGACTAAACCCTCAACCAAAACTCAACCTGCTCAAAAACAGCGGCATTAATTAAAAATATTTAAATAATTATATTCATAATAATAGTTATTTACAATTAACGCCTTACTTTGGCAGACTACAAACTCTAAATTATTTTTGTTGCACGGCTGTAGTTGTTGGCGCAGCACCATTTCCAAAGTTGTAACCAATAGATAAATAGATTATTCATGCCTTCTTAACAAAAGTGTTCAAATGCAACTTTATACCTAACTTCATCCCTAACGGATTTGTGTGGCAGAGGATACATTACTACCATAGCAAAAAATTAGAGTCCATCAATACATTGACCTAATTGTAGCGTCCCGGGACTCCATGAAGACGAAAGAAGACAAAATACTCGGGCAGAATATATATTCAGCGTAGAGAAGGTATCTGAGCTATTAGCATGGCCCAAGAGGCCAGCCCACCCAGCAAGGTACAAGGGGGCTAGTTCAAAGTACACAAGTGGCGCCCCACCAGAACCGAGGGATAAACCACTATCGTATTACAATATATTTATTCAGCGTACAGAAGGTATTCGGACTACTAGCGTACCCTGAAGGCCAGCTTACCCGGCGTAGTATAATGGCCAAATCAAAAGTCACTCTTTACCAAAACCATGAGCTAAGCAGCCAACATACTGCAATGGCAATGGTCCCACAAACTGTTCTCTGCGTTGATAATGCTTTTTCTGTCATAGTGCTTGAACTCACTAAGACTTCGGGGAACTTAGGGTTCTACAGCTGGCGTGACTTAAAATCTTCACTGTAGCGACCAAACGCAGTCTGAGGGGTTGGAGCGTTCATGTGTAGTACGATGGTTGTTTATCTCCCCGTATTAGCAAGGATCCACGTTAGACTTGGCCTTTGTACCACGCCGGGTGGGCTGATGTTCGGGCCATGCTAGTAGCTCAAATATTTTTTCTGTGTCGGATATACATATTCTACCCAAGTATTATATCTTCTTTCGGCCTCAGGGAAGTCTTGGGACGCCACACACGTATTGAAAAGGCATATAAGCAGAATATCAGATTACTATGCCAGTGAAAGTTTCCACCTGGGTGCTAACCCTGAGACTACCTGTGACTTTTTGGTTTTTAATGCTCTCATAAGTCAGTAAAAAATATGCGCCTTTATCCAAATTTGATTATGTTGTTTTTGAAAACAGGTCCTGTATGCCTATAGGACGCCCATAGCTTTACGCCTTGATGGATTTAAGTTTGTAAACTTCTGAACTCTTTTGTCCTTATTTGACGTTTCGTGTTTCATACATAACTTAATTTTGCATATGTACATTTTGAACTGTCTAGTAAGGCGGTAAAGATAAGGAAGGATAACTTAAATCAGCGCTCATATCGAAACCGTGTTTTTTTCTATCAAGTAAGTGTGGGCGAGGCTTTTGCCTACACACTCATATTTAATTTATCCATAACGATCGAGACATGCTGTGTACTTTTGTTTGCATAATTCTTTCTTTCTCGAACAGTTTTGAATGGGTTTTCTTCGTGTATACGTGCAATAGATTTATCGTGAAAGTACATCCTGTGCAAATAATCCATGTGACAATGGGAGATGCTCTTGTGGAACTCTCCTCGGTTTTTTTTATTTTTAGAAGAATCTTAAGCCTAACGTTCTGCCCTATGAACTGATTTTGGAGAAATGTGGCAAAGCCCTGAAGAAGTGTACTTATCTAAGGGTGAAATGTATCTTTCCCTTATCTACTGTTTGATTTCCTAGAGTTGTTTTATCCTGCGATATTTTCCAAGTTAGTCAGCGTATCTGTCAAGTGGAAAAATCTATCGGTAACTGTAGTAGGGATGATCAAATTGACTTTGACCCGGTAGGTTATTCCTATTTGAAAAATATTTGTCCCAGTGCGGAGGCTTTCGAATAACCTATGCTCTGAAAGACCGCGGAAGATTTCGTAAGTTTACACTGATAGTTTTTTGAACTCACTTAAAGAAGTTGCAATATCCGATGATTTCGACGAGATCACTATATTAATGCAAGAAATCGAGTCTGAAGTTGTTCCAGCAATAGCACAGCTGTCTCAATCTGAACTGCCGAGCTTTCTGTTCAATATATTTAAGAGGAAAGCACATTCTCAGCTCGTACCTCGTACGCAGTTATTATCAACCACTAAAACCATTCTCTTGTAGAGCCTCAAGCTCCTGAAATTGTCGACTTTCTGACACCCTTTAATTTCCCTCCAGCGGAGAAATTAATATTCCGTATGTTGAACCCTTGACGGCCAATGTTCCCATTTCAGATTGTTCCGGCTCCTATTTGTCGGGCAAAATCCCCGTTCGTGGTATCCTCTTTCTTAGTGTTAACTACATATCCTTCCTTCCATCTCTATCCAGCATTGGAACTCAGTTTTCTGTTCCTTGGATTAAAATTGTCGTGAGTTTATGGATCTCTCTTTATAGACAATTCTTGTAGGATGTTAAAAGGAGGATGGCTGTCGCGTTGGGTGGATATATTCTCCTCAGCACACACTCTCGAAAAGTAGGAATTTGGTTTTGTTTCACTTTCTTGTCACATGTCTCCAATTTATGTTCCAATTTTCGGAACGCTTAATATCATTGTTTTTTGAACTGACTGTTTTTATTGCGGATCTCGAGTATTCCCGAAAGAAGTGCTCATATCGTTTTTATTTTTAGTACCGGTTCACTGTGACTTCGCGTGTGGATGAAACGTTTTGCATTATTCAAAGACTGGCTGATCTTGGTGCGCGACGGTGGGTGGAATTTAACGGGAGCATTGTCGATGTTTTGCGAGGTTTGCATAAACTCTTGTGTTTCTGCCCTATAGATTGCTGGATAACGACGCCTATACGGCTACGGCACGTGACCCTATTCGCCTCTCAAGGTTAATTTCAATTTAGCATGCACATTTTTTCCCTTTTTTTCTTACAGCACTTGTGTATAAGAACCATAGGTTAGAGTACATTTTTTCTTTCCCACCTTTAGTGAGTTTTATGCCCGGTAACCAAGTTCTCTAATCTTACTACGTCTTTTATCCATTCCTGCAAAGCTGTAGGGAGCCTGTCGGTCTATTTCGGCCCATGCACCTTATGCTACTTTATGTTAGCTATGCGATCTCTTGATGAAGGATCTTTGCTTTTTTTTCTTAAGTGATTGTGGGGTTTGCTAAAGACGAGAGTAAATCTATCGACTTGTTGGGCGTGATAACCAGTTTAATGGCCTATCGTTTTCTATGTTGCAAAAGCGACTTTTATGATAGACACTTTTTATGGCTGTTGCTCCCCTCCGAAGCCTGGTTCTTGTGCTTCGTTTCTAGAATTTCAGTTGGTGACTAATGCCTTTCATTTCGAAGTGTTTACTGTTGAATAAACCCTTTCATCTCACATCCGTTTTAGTCACTTGTGTGCACTTAGAACTTAGTTTATATGGTGCTTGGTTGAACTTTGACGCAAAGGTTTCTGCTACTGACAACCTAATTTGGCGGCGTCATCGTATTCTTCTCTTTTGCAAGGAAAAAGCGTTTTTAGCCAAATGATTTCCCCATTTGGCGGAATTGTGCAACCGCACCTCCAAAACGCGTTGTCAATTCGATGTTAACGTATTCCAGTGCTGAATGATTGTTTGTTACAAAAATACGATCGTTTTGTTGCTCATTTTGACCGAGTAAGGATGCCTTTTATAGTGGTGGATCCATCCTATCCTCACGCCATCTCCTCTCACGACTGGACTCCTACTCGCGAAGCGAGACCTATCGGAGACAATTTCACCTGCCCACAACAGAGATCCTCGATTGTGAGGCCTTATGCCTCCTCTGCACTCCCTTCGACAAGGGCGAACGACCTGGTCGGATTTACCTCTCGGAAAACTTTCTCTGTTTCCGGAATTGTGTTAGTGATAATAAAACTGCTTAACTATATCCTCGGATGGACAATATCATGACAAAAGTGATTACCCCTTATCATTGTTCAGGGTACTGCCTATCTAGCTCTTGTCGTTCCATTGAGTGAGGTGCTTACGGTTGATGTGCACGTTTCCCAAGTGAATCCCAAGTACTCTGATATTATTCTCTCCACTAAAGCCGTAAGTCGCTTCTTTTTTGAACTTCTGACAAATTTACCGCAGTTTCGTCATCAGTAGTCTCTAGTAAATGGAAGAATTGTATTAACACTCGTAATTTTTTTTCATTCAGACGGTGTTTGTTTTCACCAGAGTGCATGATGAAGAGGGCCTCGTAGATCGACTCAAATACATCGTCCGTAGTTCATCGGCTATTTTTGACAAGTAAAGGCACCGTTTAATTACTGAAAAAGATCCTTTTACTCAAAGATGACGTTTCTTTTACCTTTAGTAGTGGTTCTGAGGAGATTGTTGTGGCAGAAGATGCTCTGTGGAATGCTGATGAGTCGAGATTGCCAAATCGCTCTAGTACTTCTCAAGTACTGCTACGCGAAATGGGGGAAAACGGCACGTCACCGAAAGACTTGGGTTCGCCCAAAAGTCCGGGTGAGTAGAACTTCGCCTCTGGTATTCCGGTGTGTTTAGAAGGTGCGGTTTATTGCTCTTTTTTAACACATAGACGTAGAAAGACAACAAGACAATCCTGCTGATAATGAATCTCCTGATGAAAAAACAGGAGTCACTGCAACGTCCTCTACGAGTAAGTTGATGGTCCTGTTAAATACTTTATACTGTAGTCATCCGGCCAAATGAATAACTTTGCAACTAGTTGATGTCGATCTGTGAACTGTTTTGTTTTAGTTTCTACTTCCTTATTGTTCTATCTTTACTCTGTTAGGCTGAGAAGATGGTTATTAATTTGCGCTCTAATAAATTGCTTAAATGTTCATTGAATCTCTAACGGTCACCATAATTTTTTGAGAGCATTTTCTTTATTAAAAACTCTACAAGCAAGGAATGTTGATGCTATCCGGTCACCAATCTTTTTGTCCCCACGTTTAGCTGAGGACCACTCGGCGCGCTTCATCGACCTCTTCCCTCTCGATGACACTTCTTCGAGCCAGATGGAAGAGAGCCGTAATGCCGCATGGGAACGGTACTTTTCCATCTATGGCAAGGGCAGATCCATGTTTGTTGTCAACGAACTAGAGGAGCTCGTGCTCAAAGGCCTGCCTCAAAAACTTCGTGGGCGCCTTTGGTTACTTTTCAGCGGAGCCGAGAATGACGTGAGTGCTACTTAAATACATCAGTAGGTGGTATTTTGACAATTTTAAGTTGGATGTGCTGCTTGCACGGGTGAAATTCTTTTGTTTTATTTAATGAAACACGGATTAGTTCCCTGACTGTTGCTGGGAAGGAATGGTTCGAATTTAACCGTGGTTTTGCTATTTTTACTCATTTTAATAGCAACTGTTTTGCTAACAGCCTACCGTTACTTATTCCCCTTGGGATTCAATAAGTGTTTCTTTTTTGTTTTTTTTGTCTTTTTACCTATTGGGACTTGCGAATTTTAATGCTGGTGGTTTTAAATATTGCGTTTTTGTAACATACGCCTGTCACTTATCGTGAAATTATAGAATATTTGTGGTTATTTTGCAAGTAATATCCAAATTGTTTTTAGGGTAAATAAATGATTATTTAATAAAGGCGTAAAATTACTAGATTGCTTACCGTCTACCGCAGTACACCGTTTATGATTGCGTGAATGTGCTTGGACGTACTTGTTCGTGAAATTATCCTGGAACACGATTCATTTGAATCAGTTTTTACAAAGTAGTCGGAAGGCCTAGTTTGCAATATTGGCAAAAAAGAGAGGACAAGCGTACTTCTAGCAATTGTCTCCACTAGGTTCGGAGGCGCATCTCTTTTGTACGACCAACTTAAAGCTGGAATAGATGAATTTTAGATGCTGATAAACGAAATTTCCAGCTTAAGATTCATTTTGTAATTTTTTCAGTGTTTTTGACCATTTTTTCAACTAATATTGTGTCCCCAAGCATGCTTAAGATCACAGGCGTTGAATTTAGAGTTTTAAATGGCCATTGATTTATAGTAAATTCCTCAAAGTATCCTGATGCGCTCATTTCATTTCACTCCATCATGCGTCTGTTGAAACTCGGCTTGTTTATGTCTCTAGGCCTTTTACCTGTTATCCGTCGATCAACATCCCTGGATGGGAAAAAGGGTAAAGCTGGGGGAGTGGTCACTCATTTAGCACTTCGCAGACATGCATATTTACTCAAGACGTGTTTTATGACCTATTCGTCCTTGTTCCTGAGGTGTTTCACTGTCTCAGCCACCCTAAGTCGAAAGTGCCAACAGTAATGGTAGCGGTGGCAAGTGCATCAGTGAGTACCGAGCTGTAACAGTCTTCATGTACAAGCAGTTTTATTTACTATTATCCAAACGGAGTGACCGCTCTATTCTTGACTTTGATGTCACGGGCCTCTTAATCTAGTGGTCAGTCAGCGCAACGGTCACATTAGATTTCTGTGGATGCATTAACACGTTGAAGTCGGGTTTCCACTTGGGAAAGATGAATGCAACTTACCTAATTTCACACGGCTTTTGGTATTACATTGTACCCATGAGAATGCTACATTTGCCGAGAGTATTGAATCTGATGCTCTCAAAATTATTTGCTTGGGTAGATGTGCTGTTGCCCTTACAAACTAATTTACAGGTGTCAATTGCAAACCACTTTTTGTTCTTGAAAATTAATGCTATTGCTTACGGCATTCGGTGGGTGGATGTACAGAAATCCTGCAAGACTACTCGGCAGAAGTGTTTGCGCTTTTTACCATTATTTGGATGCATTTTCCGAAACTAGTAGATGCGTATTTTTCAGTTCAAATGTACTAGCATTGGTGGTAATGGTGGGTGTTGACTGTTTTCTAGTATTGTAGACTGTCTTATCAACGCTTGGGAATGTTCAGCGTCGGAAATGCTCTGATCCTTGCTGAAACGCCCTATATATTCTCTAAGTAATTTTGATTTGTCGCGATACTCTAGGCTTTCTAGACTACCTCGACGTTCTCGTATATTTTCCGGGAGACCGAGAGTTCTTAATCTGACCAGGTCAATGTGAAGTTAACCGCAACACCAAAATTCCTGTGCTTGGGGGCCGAGGTAACAGAACTGGCATAGCATGATGTGCACTAATATTCGAAGAAGACGATTTCTGGTCCAACTCAGATCAACTTCAAGGAGTTTGTCGTCAAAAATCCTATGCTCTCTACTTTATTTAGATTTTGATCATTTGGATGAAATCGGTGCTGTAAAGATTCCACTCGTAAAGGTGTTTGTTCCCAGTCGAAGACGGTCAGCCATCTTTGAATAGCAGCACTAAATTCCCTATTTTATAAGGTAGCTAATTGATTTCGAGCAGTTATTTATGGAGGAAATCAAAAGTTGGCTCCGTAAACTTGCATCTTGTTGAGAAAAGATAGCAGACTGCAACAACGATAGTTCTAATGGATGCAACACTTTGGAAAGATCTTTATTTTTTTACAAAACCTTTTTTTTTCTAGAAGCAAGTAATTTGATAATAGAAAAGCCTCTTTCTATCCAATCTTTATTCTTCATTCGTCTGCCCCACTTAGACAAATATCATCAGAAAGAATGCGGAGGGTGAGGTTGAGGAGAT